TCCCTCCCTCCCTCCCTCCCTCCTTCCTTCCTTCCTTCCTTCCTTCCTTTTGCAGTGCTGAGAATTGAACCTAAGGCCTTACAAAGGCTAGGAAAGTGCTTTACCACTGAGCCACATCCCCAGTCCCTGAAGACACTTTAGAATTCAATTCACCTACTCTGTGGTCAAGTTCTGAAGTCCAGAGACATTGACTTGACCCTAACCCACAGCTAGAGGGTAGCAGGTTGGTTTTAGCGCAACTAAATGTTACGTTTTAAGACAATACCTTGATCATGCCTCTCTACCCAAAGGAACAATAAAATTATGAGTATTAGCTACATGAGTATGAGCAATAAAACCCAGAAAAACCCAGTTTAACTCCCCACCATACTCTGATGCATACCTAAAATGTTGATAGCATTCTTACCTCTTTAGAGAAGTAAAATTAGATATTCTGCCGGGAGGAACAAAAATAGATGAAAGACACGGGGGTGCTTAAGGGCAGAATAAGTGATAAGGCTTGTCTGACTATGTATTGCTTAGGTGGTCATAAATGTACTGGAACAGGTAGACAAAGAGGAGGCCTTCAGTGGTCCCTGTGTTCTGGAATTCAGACTGTTATGTAATCCCCTCTTCCTATGTGTAATCTGTGATCAAAGGCAAAAACTATGGGATGTCATTCCTATGATTAGATTATCTTATAGAACTCCATCTCAAAGCCAACTGGTGCTAGAAACTCTTCCCCAGCTCGGTGAGATCTCATCTTTGGTGAGATGGCCTGATGAGAAAACGACAAGGTGAGAATTGGGCTTAGTCTACTGCCATAGAGAAAGAAGTCTGCCAACAGTCTGAATTAATTTGGAGAGGCGAATTCTTTATATATATATAATTTTAGTTGTTGATAGACCTTTATTTTATTCATTTATTTATGTGTGGTGCTGAGAATCAAAACCAGTACACATGTGAGGCAAGCACTGTACCACTGAGCCACAACCCCAGTCCCTGGAGGCATATTCTTTCCCAGTTGAGCCTTTAGGTGACATGCAAGCCCAGTTGACACCTTCATTGCACATGAACAAAACCCTGACTGAAGAGCCAGCAGCTCGCCATGCCCAGGCTCCTCCTGACCCACACAGAAAGTACAGGATGATAAAAGTGTTGTTTTAACTAACTAAGTTTATGGTAATTTTTACTCTGATAATATTTTCATAGGTCAGATCAGTTAATACCAATAATTTTTTATGGATTAATTAAATAATTAGAAGAAAACAAATTTATTGAAGCCTTATACAAGTACTTTGATTTTGAAGAGAAAATTTTATTTTTTTTCTGGGAGAGTGGGTTCAAACTATTTGAAACACTCCAGGTGACAGATTTATAATGGTGGAATGTAGACAACTAGAATTGGTGAAGAGAACTATATTTTATTATAAATATTCTTCTTCAACAAACCATTTTTTGAAACTGCATATTCTGCGGTCACTTGAACAGCTGCTACATGCATGCACGCTCGCACGTACGCACGCACATTCTTCCTTTGCCTGGAATACCCATTTCTTCCCATTTCTTTAAAAAGGTGTATTTTCAATGTCGCCTCAACTGAAAAGCTATAGTCACCACAGCCTTTTGTCTATCCCTCTTATGGCTTTATGCATAGAGGTGAAATCACTTACTTTCTTTTCTGCTTCTCCTAGAATTTTGTTAGCTTCCTGAGATCAAGAACAGTATTGTTTGTATCCTTGTATCTCCTGCATCTAATATAGAATCTGGCACATGGTTCAATAAAGATTTTTAAATAAAAGTCTAGAAAATTAACCTGAAATCTAGAGCTGAATGGACCATTAGTTTGAGCAAAACCCAGAGTAAAATGACTTTCTTATTGACCATTGTCAGGAGTAGGGATTTTTTATCTGTTCTATGTTAGTCTAGCTTTCCTTCTGAAAGTGAAATCTATAAGGATATCCATGTAGATAGTTAATTTGGGGAAATTCTTCCAGAGAATGGGAATGGAAGACTGGGAAGAATGAAATTAAATGAGAGAACCAATTCAGTTTTGCTCTGGACAACTGAGCTTTACCTACTGGAACCCTCTGAGGAGCCACATGGAATGTGCTTCAGAGTTGTCCACATGAGGAAAGCTAAAGCAATTATTCCCCCAGCCTCTGTGGAAAGTGTTTCTCATGGGGTGTTTATTTCCTTGCATCTCATGGTTTTCATATGTATAGGTGCCTAGTCAATTCCTAGGAGTGCTTATTCAAGGTATCAGAATTTCCACACCTGAATATAGGAGGTACAAAAGTACAGTTGAGGCAAGGTCTTTTATGATACTGGCTTTGAAACTGGCTTGCTATGGGTGAAAAGCAGAGAAGACATGAGGTAAGCAGGAAATGCCCAATTCATTCTGCTTGAGTCACTCAAATCAGTTTGTGTACTCCATTAATCAAACTCATGTGGCCAGTCACAGCACAGCCAGAGACTTGCTTCAAGGAAATGGTGGAATTAGCCACATTCCAGCTGCCACATCTAGCTGGAAGCTCTAACTCATGATCTTACAACTATCAGAATTCAGTCAGGGAAGCTGAGCAACTACAACATATGGAATAAGGATTTGAAGCTTATACAGTTGCCAGAGAAGCTGAGGAAGTAAAGATCTGAAAGAGAGAGTGGCAAAGGACCAAATGAGTTGTGTACGTAAGAAGCCACACATGTCCAGCCTCCAAATTGGGACTGGGGAAAAGGACTCATGGAGATTGGCTGTTGTGTCAGTGGTACTGTATCCATGCATCTAGTTGTGGGCATGAGGATGGACTTGGGTGGGACATCTGGATGCAGAGAAGAAGCAAGGACAAGCCCAAATCCACTAGCACTTCTGTGACATGTGTCACCTAGCCATAGTAACTTTTAGAAGGTAATAGCTGCTGTCTTTCTTCTGCCTTCTAAGTCTCACATATTTCTTTTTATATTTTATATTTTTATATTTTATATATTTTTATTTTTTATATTATTTTATATTTTATATTTTTTTATCCCTACAGGGATAGAGATTGTGAAAAATTATTCAGGTTAAAGCCAGTTGGAATACTATAAATCAGACTGATCACTCTATTGTCCCCCTTTACCAATACTTCAACACATCTGGGTAGTCTACCAGGTAAGGTAACCCAGATTTTTATCCCAAGGGTGTCCGAGCTCTTGTTTCGTCATTAACACTTGCTACAGTTGCTGAGTCTTTGTTATCAGGCAAAGAAGCACCAGAAGATGCCCCTGAGTATCCCTTGGGTTCTGAATGAGCTCCTTCTTACTGCAGCACACTCAAGATGCACAACCACAAGTTGGCCTTCCAGTACATAGATGGTCTTAGAATTCTTTGAGTGTCTGTACTCCTACCTTCCAACACAGAAACTGTATTTTCTTACTCAGACAGCTATAAACCTCATCTGGATTGTTGGTTTGGATGTAGTGGGAAGAAGCAGGAGCAGATCTTGAAGAAGATAGGCATGATCTTTTCAGGGTCTCCAGACAAAAATATGCTGTTGTTTTCCAGCTAAGAGTTGGAGGAAGCTCCTTTTCCTAGACCAGAAAATTTGGGCAAATCTTCGGATGTAACAACATTTCAGGTCACTGACTCAAACATCCCCATTCTGGGTTTCTGTGTCCAAATATTCCTATCAGGACCCAGGTTTTATCATAGAAGACTTAGTGAGGCTTTCATTCAAATCTTTGTAGCTCTGATGTCCTGCAAATTAAATCTTGAGCGTGAGTTGTGGCAGTGCACCGTGTAGTGGCAGGAATAGGGTTTCTTTAAATACTGACCTCAAGGTCAGTATCCACCCTTCTCCCAGATGTTACAATCTGAGGAAGGCAGTTTAAAACATTGAGGCACAGGTTGGCTTGTCTTCCAACCCATATGTCTTGACTCGCATTTTCTGCCTTAGATCTGGAATTCTTAGCTCCGTTTGTAATAGGTAAGTAGGGATGATGTGGTGATAATGGCATTTTAGAAAATGTAAACCTTTCAGCCATGTAGATTGGAATATCAGAGGGAAGGAGAAAGTAGGAAAGCTTTTCAAGAATTGATGTGTGAGGTGCTGAGAATTTGAAAAGAGGTGGTGTTTGTGCCAGTACGTATAGACATGTCTTAGAGGTAGAATTAAAGAGGCTAATCAAAGAGTATTTTGAAGGAAGAATCAGTGGAACACATTGATTATATATAAAGGTCAAAGGAAGATGGGTAGGACAGTAGAAATTTAAGGTTTCTGTCCTAGAGAAAGGTACAGTGTTCACCATAATCCTCTGCACAGTAATGGATTGTTTTAGCCTGCATATGAAGAACTAAGTCTTTTGATCCAGCACAGGGTGGTAAGAGTGAATCAAGAGTTAGTAATGCAGCTGTCTAAATTAAAAGCCTCTCTTTCTCTTGCTTTCTGCCACCCTCAATTCCTTCTTGCCTCAAGTCCCACAATCAGTCACCATATAGGTTAGCAGGGAAGAATCGAAACAACTTTTCTTCAAGCTTGTTTGTACTTTTAATCATATTTCTAATCTGGTGCCATTAAAGGGTCACCATGCCTAAGGCCAAGTCTAGGGCCAGCCTTGTCCAAACTTATAATATTCTTTTATGTTGGTTGTTGAACTGTCATCTCCCTCCTACAGTCCCTCCCTCTCTTCTGTCATTCTCTTCCCAACCAACCCCAGTATGAAACTCTGAATCTGGAAGCTGCTTATATATTTCCTGATGGCCACAAGGCAAGGTGAGGTTTCCCTCTGGCATTGGTTAAACAAGTAAGATGTTATACCTAGGAATAACCACAAGTGAGAGTGGAGAGCAATGACAGATCCTGACAGTGTGCCCAGAGAGCTGTCAACATTGAGTCTTATATTTAGTTACCAGAGGAACATAAACAGAACAATTTTTTTACACTTTTTTAAATTTTTTTTTTTAGTTGACAAACCTTTATTTTATTCATTTATTTATATGGGTGCTAAGAATTGATCCCAGTGCCTCACATGCAAGACAAGTTCTCACCACTGAGCCACAACCCCAGCCCCAGAGAACAATTTTGATAATAAAAACAGAAAACAATTCTGTTTAACATGCAGGATCTTTTGAAAAGGGGCATTTTTGCCCACATTAAAGAACAGAAAGCATGCTGGCAAGAGAATAGAAGAAAAGGTTAAACAATTAGGAGATGGATCTATAAAATGTGGTTATCACCCAAGCAAAAGAATTATAGAGGGCTAGGGTTGTGGCTCAGCCATAGAGCACTTGCCTAGCACGTGCAAGGCCCTGGGTTTAATCCTCAGCACCACATAAAACTAACTAAATAAAATAAATAAATTAAATAAAGGTATTGTGTCCAGCTACAACTAAAAAATATTTTTTAAAAATTATAGAAAGATGACTTCACATAATAAGTAAGCCAAGCTTACAACAGTATGGTTGCAAATCTACCTAAACAGAATGTGTTGGTCCCTTTTTCCATCTATCAGATTTCTTGGCTACGCATGCAGTTTATTTTATTATAAGAAAAATATCTTTTTAAAAATTTTTTTAGTTGTAGATGGACACAACACCTTTATTTTATTTTTATGTGGTGCTGAGGATCGAACCCA